GACTCAGCAAAGTCCGGGGCGTAGGCGAATGACTGCAGAAAAACGAATATCGATGATACGTACTAGCTGTGACCGCCTATTGGAGGCAAAGGACCACTTGGAGCAAGTCAAGAAACGGAATTCTCTCATTCTGAAATTTGTCAAGGACACATTCGGCTACGCACGCGCGACGAGAAACGCTGCTTGTCATGGCAACCTCGTGCAGTGGGTCCTGGCACAATATCCTTTGATTAATGCCGAGATGTCACAATTGAGAGCGCCTAAGACCAGATCTGGTGGGACCAGGGGGGGAAAGAGAAGACTCACCATGGATGACGAGCCTCTGGAGAGATGTCCCCAGAAGAAGCTGAAACTCAGTGGTGAGTCGAGTTCAGTTCTGGGCAGTGGGATATGGGTCAGTTGTGGATATACGCATTCGCAATCCCGCACTCTGGATCATGAACCATCCCAAGGTTCCCAAACTAAAGTGTCTGGCGTTACACTTCAGCAATCAGTGGACGACGGTCGGGTAACTTCTCAAGGAACCCGTCGCAGCGCGCGTATTGCAGCGCTCTGGGAGAATACCAGTATTTCCAAACCTTCTGCCTCTCAAAAGGCACCACGCTCAAGGTCAAAGGCGGCACCTAGGCTATGCCGAAGGCCTCATTCACCTGCCGAGGACCGGGAAAACACACCGAGAAGAAGGTCGCTAAACGTTAGTCAACACGGTGCGCCTAAAGGCATCAGGATGTCGCGGAGGCTCCGGCGGCTACCGCATGGCTGATGAGGAGCGTTTTCTCGGGCTGCATACGATGGCTGGCAACATCTACCCCCCAACGAACTCCTGGCCGACTAGGGCTATCTACCTATTCCACAATTCGGGAACGTTTTGTTGAATATGAAGCCGTCCCGTTCGTGCTCCAAATCAGCCATCATTTTCTCACCTACCGTCTTGCCCGCAATAATCAACGTCTTGGCCAGCATAAGAACAAGAAAAATCCTAGCAACCTGCTCTTAGCTGTGTTCTTCCACCCAGCCATCGTACCACGCTGAACGTATATATCCGCGCGCCTCAGCACTGTCGTCCCCACGCTATCAAGGAACAGCGTCACCTTGTGCCCGATGACTATATCCGTGTCGATGCCATGTAGCGGCAACGAGGGTCCGCTTGGCAAGTCGAGGCACCAACCCCAACCCCAACCCCCGAGTGTGATGCCGAAGTTATTGAGAAGGTTAGATTTGTACAATTCAAGGTCCGCAGGAGGGTGAGAATGAAGTAGGCGAGATGATATGGCCGGCTTGGTTTAAACCTCAGTAGTCGTCATAAGGATGAACTTCAATCGCGGGGCCAGGAGAGTCTATCTGGCAATGCTGGCAGATCTTCGTCAACTGCTCAAGGGGTGCGACTTCGACGAGATGGCCACATACCAGGATGACTTTGTGAAATCGCTGGACTGACGGATGGCCAAAAAGCTGGTGCAGTCTGCGTAGCTCATTTGTTGTAAGATGGTTCCAGGCGGCAAACTGTTCCTTCCGATCGTCGAGCGACATCCATGGGTGGCCCCATTTGCGGATGACCGGTGCTTCGTGTTGCCCTCCTGCAGAAATTATTAAAAGTGTCGGACGGTTCGTATCCTAGAGGCGAAGGAAAAACAGCGTAGCTCTCGGTACTACATTGAAACACATAGGGCCCAATGGCATGGGAACCTTGCTGGTACCTTGAGATGTGAGAGCATCCCCTCGTCCGAACTGGGTAGTGGCTGTTCCAGCGGTGGAGGGTGTTGAGGTCAATAGTTGAGAATATGCGCCTGAGGGCAAGAAATTGCGGGTGGTCTACTGTTAAGAACCCTGCGGCGGCTGATTCGGGCGTGATGCCCTGTAAAGCAGCAGAGGGGTGTCTGACTTCCAGAGTAAGTAGTAAGTTCGATTTTTGTGGCGGTTGGTTGCGGTGGAAATCATCCTTCTTCAGCGCGTGGCAAGTTGATTGTTTTGGCGAGTACGGCGGCAACAGCGCGACCGTCAACAGATGTGCGAACAGAGAAGAAGGAAGCGAAGAACTGTCTACCTCTGTCATCTTCGCCGTTATGATCCCCAACGCTGAGCACTTGGAAGCACTGCGCGATAGGTTCTTCGAGGATAGGCTCATTGGTAGTCGGCTCAGCCGCTTCGTGGCCTTCGTGCCATGCGGGTAAGTGGCTGAACGCGGGTATGGGTAAGATCTAATGCCTTTATCCAGCGGGGTGTTGCGTGGATGAACATCTGGGCTTTCCATAAAGGTAGCATCTCTTTTGAATGATCGAAGAGGTTCTGCGGTTGCGGTTGCCAAAGGGAGTCTACTGACGTCGAGGAAATGGGCGGTCGTTACGCTTGTTGGGGCCGCAACTTCGCCCAGAATTGCGTTCCTGTGTCGTCGGGCTCGGTGCGCCAGCTGATAACAAGATAGGAAGTGTCTTTTGCCTACTAGGGTTGGTCAGTGGTTAGTATTGGATGTATGGTGATGCATCGTTCTCATCCCGTCTTTAGTTGATCTGGATATCAAGCCGTCCCGTTGCCATAGCAAACTTCACTGTTTCTCTTACAACATCCATACATAGCAACCAATCGTCGGAGTCAAACATAGTCTTCCCACCTAGGTAGAATAATAGGTTGACTCTATGGATGTCAGTTCGTTAGAGCATCGGGGCGCTGTGCTATCCATTGGGCGCATCGGAAGAGAAAGTGCTCGACCGTCTCTGCTGCTTGTCCGCATGCGGATAGACCTGAGGCGGCCGCCCCAATCCGGTACAGGTACCAATTAAGCAGTGCCATCCCCGTCCACAGCTAGGCCAGTATGCTGGCCTCCTTCATGACAATGAGTCGTACAGTTGCCGTGTATGCTTTCCTAGCAGGGCCGCGTCGACCCTTTTCAAGAACTTTCCTATCCCTTCCAGTAACCTCCAGTACTTCTGTACTCTCGTCACCGCGTTTCTGAGTGTGGTTGAGTAGGCCCTGGTTGGCTTCTTCCTCGGCGTCCTCCCTTGTTGCGTGCTCTGTTTCGCCGCTGCTTTGGCCGCCAGCACGAGGTCGGACTCTACGCCTGTCGGAAGCCAGAAGAGTGTAACATTGTTGCTTTTGCTTATGAGCGTGTTGAATGCCTTGTATATGCGACGGATCTATTGTTGGCCTGATTGTTGTCGTGGTCTCCCTGCTGCTAAGACGGCTGTTTCGTTGGTGGAAAAGACATAGACAGCACGACGACGGATCCTTCTCAAAAGGGTCTTCAGCGTCTTTGCTATCACTGTTACGTTTTATGCCTATTTCGCGTGAGACTTCATGTCTTTCGCAGGGCCGACGTCACGTCACCCACAGGAGCCGCAAATCAAACTCACCTGATCATTTGCGTCTTGCTCCGGATTTCCGTGGGGATTCATTGTATTATTAGTATGCCATCTCGAAGCTTGCTCTGAAGTGCCCAACGTTCTATCTACGGGAGCTGAAATAATGCGTCCTGCGCGGAGAGTATGAGATACTATGGAAGGGAAGATCATAAGGAAGAGCTTCTCAACTTATAGAAGACCCTGAAGTATTTCTTCTACCCTCGGAGCGGTAATGCCAATGTGAACCTCTGCAAATTGCATTTAAATTGCCTTTCGTTCTTTCCCGATGAATGGCCAACGGATCCGTCTTGTTGAGAAGCTGCACATAAAAACCCCTTGACTCCATGGTGGTCCCCGTGTCCAACTGCTCGGAAAACCCAAAGTCCCGCGCCGCCCGGGCAGTCACGGATACGGCGGACTCCACAGAAACATTTTCCATGGCGAGAAAGTGACGAAGCCTCCAGACGGAAGGATGGGGTGTCTCTGCCTCGAGGAACGCGCTTAAACGATGAATGAGGCGGTATTCAGAGGGAACAAAGGTGGTTTCCGTCGGTAAGTCTGGCCAGCATTTGTTGAATATGGTCATGACCTTTCTTCTTTCCCAAGCCTTCCAGAATTCGTCGAAGCTGCAGGTAGGACCTCTCTTGGTTATCCATTCCAACATGGTCGAGGAACCGATACTACGCGCGTATCCCTCATGGGACGTGGTCCCGAAGAGCATGGTGTTGTACATTGACCCCAGCTGTCCTTCCTCGTGCTGGTCGTGGGCGACAAAAAAACCAAAATCGAACCAGTGGCAGTGTTCAGAGTTTACGGGCGGCGGGTGCCGTAGCTCTACGGCTATCAAATAGATATGGAGCTATGCATCTTGGCAAAAGGAGTCAAGTCCTTGACGTCCTTGTGTTGGTCCTCAGGGGTCAGATACTTCCGGACTTGGGTTTGCATGTTCTGTACCTGCGCCACAGGGCCTGGTGTACGGGGGATTGAATGATGACAAAATGGTACTTCGAAGCGGGTATGGTGTCTCAGAAACCCAGAGAAGTATCCTCCCCTGCTATCGATAGGTAACTCCTCGAACTTCTCAACTATCTTCGCGAACACTTTCACCTCGTTTATGTCAGGCGCAGAGCACATACACACACAATGTGTTACGCCCTGGCTAAGCCATAAAGGGCTCTTGTATTTATATTACATGATCCCTCCATCCGTTTTTATTCTTGTCGCACGTAAGCCCTTACATAAAGTCCACTTTTGTCTGTGTCATCCCCGGTCACTTCTTTCAGTGTCGACGGGTTCTCGTGGGGTTAGTAGCAGGCCGTCTTGGGGCCACTTCCTCCAAGTGTTCAGCGTCCTATCTTTGGCGGCTAAAGATGGTCCTGCTGTCGGCCGCACGAGGGTGCGTATAGGCTTAGTCGGCGGTTAGTGTTGGTAGTGTCGCGCTGTGCCCTTCTGGTCTCAAGTTCAGCTTATCTGTGCATCAAGCCTTCCTGTAGCCATCGCAAACTTGATAGTTTCCCGAACCGCCTCCATACATGGTGACCAGTCGTCGGGGTCGGATGCGGCTTTCCCGCCTAGGTAGAACGATAGGCTGTCTCTGTGCGTATCCGTTCGTTGGATCATTGGTGCGCGTTGTGCTGTCCATTGGGTGCAACGGAAGAGAAAATGCTAGACCGTTTCTGTCGCTTGTCCACATGTACACTGGTCTGTGGCGACAGCCCCCATCTGGTGTAAATACCAGTTGAGTCTCGCCATTCCGGTCCGCAGTTGCGCCAGTACACTGGCTTGTTTCCGTGATAGGTCGTCATATAATTGGCGCATATGTATCCCCGGGAGGGCGGCATCGACCTTCTTCGAGAAGTTTCCTACGCCTTCCGGTAGTCTACGGTTGATCGCTTGTGCTCTCTGTAGCGCGTTTCCGAGCGCGGTTGAGTATGCCCTGGTAGGCCTCTTCCTAGCTGTCTCCCCTTGTCGGGTACTTTCTTTTGCCGCTGCCTTGGCCTCCTTCATGACCTTCGACTTTACTCCGGCCGGAAGCCAGAAGAGTGACACCCTGTTGCCTCTGTTCTTGAGAACGTTGATAGCCTCGTAGATACGCCAAATTTCCTGCTGGCCTGACTGCTGCCGGGGTCTGCTTACTGCTGACACGGCGGCCTTACTGCTGGAGAATAGGTATATGACTAGGTGACGGACCCTCTCTGCGAGTGAATCCAACGCCGTTGCCATTGCTGCGAGCTCTGCCGTGAACGGATTCTGCTCCATCCTAGGTCCAGCTGTGCGCTGTTCCGTTGTCGTAAAACCGCCTCCCGTGTGTGACCTGGAGAGATGCAGTGCTCTTCCATAGCCCACGATATCATTTTTTGCCGAAGTGGCTATTGCAGCCCTAGCGGCCCAGCCTGTCTTGATTGCAGCGCTTAACTCGTCTCCGTCGTCTTCAGCCACCGTCTGTACACGGTTCTTCCAGGGTGGTAGCGAGAAAGCGCTGATGTTCTCTAATATGTCCAGGGGTAGGTCGCGGTAGGCTGCGGCCATCTTCTGGAAAGGCGAGATGTGCCTCTTGCACTTGTTGGTCTTGATACGTCGCAGCGGATGACTCTGGGGCAATGTCCGAAGGCGCGCCCAGAACTTGATCGCTTTCCTGTCGAACCGCTCCTGGACTGATTGTATGCCGGCTTCCGCTTCGGCAACTGCCGTAACTACCGAGTTGAAGGTACCCACGATTGCCTGGGCTCCAATTCTCTGTACTCTGCTGATGGCACTCATCTGTGCCGACTTACACGCATGTTTTCATACGTTCGATGCGTAATCCATCGTAGGTGCCACGGCCGCCACGAAGAGTTGTCTCGCCGGAGATGGAGACAGGCCCTTAAGTCGTCTGAGCTCCAACACCGCTTCTAGGCCTTTGGTCGCAGCTCCTGCGAGATGTTGGGTGAAGCGGAGTTTACTGTCCATCACCACGCCCAGGATCTTCACCCGGTCTGTAAGCCGAACGGTGTCACCGTTGATGTCGAACGTGGCATAGTCCTCTGGCCGTCTCCAGTTACGCGTGAAATGGATGATGGCCGTCTTGTCTGCTTCGAAGGTCGCCCCGCTTCGCCTTTCCCAGTCGAGTGCTCTATCTATGATGGCCTGGATTCCTTGCCGGTTCGCCTCTCGTGATGGCCCGGTGACCCAAGCCGTATAATCGTCAACGAATGCTAGTGCACCTCCATCCTCGTCGATCTGGTGCTGGACCAAGTCGGCATTGAAGAAAAGAAACAGGACAGGAGACAGCGGTGAGCCCTGAGGTAGCCCAGCCTGAGGCAGGGAGTGGACCTCAGAGTCGTGACCGTTGACCTGAATACTAGCTGTCCTTTCTGAGCAAAACGCATCTACCCACCTTACCAGCTGCTCTGGGCTCCCTCTTGCTTCGTGTCTCTGAAGTAACCGTTCTTTATGCACCCCGTTGTATGCGCCTTTTAACGTCAAAACTGACCAGACTGAGGACTTTTCTTATCCTCCATGCTCTGTAGATGTGCTCTTGGAGCAGAACCAGCGCCTGCTCTGCCGATCGCTGCTTCCGAGCCCCGAAGTGGCTCGTGGGCAGGAGCCCGTATGTCTCGACCGCATACGATATCCTCTCGGCCATCACTGACTCGAGCACCTTCCCCAGTGTCGACAGCAACGATATAGGTCGCCAGGCCTTCGCTATGGTGTAGTCGTCCTTGTTCGGTTTCTTCAGCGGGATAATCTTCGCGTACCTCCATTGGTCGGGCAGCGTTCCTTCTTCAACTGACGCTTGAAACAAGGTCAGGACCCGATGTTTAACACTGGGCTACGTTTGCTTCCACACGACCACAGGAAGACTATCTTCCCCGGGTGCCTTCCACGATTTCGCCGCGAAGAGTTGTCTCTCTACCTCCTCTAACGTGATGTCAGGAAAGTGGACGGAGGGTCGTTGCGGACGCTGTCCCTCGTCTTCGATGTTGCCTGGAAGCACGTACGGCGTACAGCGAATGGCGCATTCTTGCGGGCGGCTGCCAGACCCTCTTCCGGGATGCGGGCAAAGATGCGGAGGTCTTCTTCCGGCTGCGCCAGAGGCCGACTTTGGGCCGGGCGTGGGGCCTGCGGTCCAATTGGAGCCCGCGTGGCGGCAGGGGCATCGGCTGTGGTCGAGGCCTGACTCAAGGCGAGAGGGATCCCGGAAAAGCTGGTGGCGTGGGTGGATGCGTTCTGTTCGCACCGGACAGCAAGCATCCGGGTCAACGGCCAGGACTCGGAGGTCCGCTCCCTGCCTCAAGCTGGGCTACGTCAGGGCTCACCGCTGTCGCCTGTCCTATTCCTTTTCTTCAACGCCGATTTGATTCAGCACCAAATCGATGAGAATGGAGGATCGCTGGCATTTGTAGACGACTATACGGCATGGGTCACCGGACCATCGCGAGAGGCGAACCGACAAGGGATCCAGGCCATCATTGACCGAGCCCTCGACTGGGAACGACGAAGCGGGGCGACATTCGAAACAGACAAGACGGCCATCATACACTTCACCCGTAACTGGCGACAACCGGAAGAGTACTCAACCTTCGACATCAAAGGAGACACAGTCAGGCCCAAAGACCGCGTAAAGGTTTTAGGCGTAATCATGGATACCAAACTCCATTTCAAGCAACATATTGCAGAAGCGGCGTCGAAAGGCCTCGAAGCCGTGCTGGAGCTCAGACGACTAAAGGGCCTGTCTCCGTCGACGGCAAGGCAACTCTTCGTAGCTGCGGTAGCACCGACTATGGATTACGCATCGAACGTCTGGAAACACAGGTGAAGGACAGCCCAGATGAGGGTCATCAACAGGGTACAGAGGATTGGAGCCCAAGCCATCATCGGAACCTTCAATACAGTGGCCACAGCGGTCGCTGAAGCAGAAGCAAGCATACAGTCAGCCCAGGAACGATTCGAAAGGAAAGCGATCAAGTTCTGGGTGCGTCTCCAGACTCTGCCTGCGAGTCATCCGCTGCGACGTACCAGACCTCGGAGCTTCAAGAGGCACATCTCACCTTTCCAGAAGATGGCCGCAGCATACCGAGACCTACCAGTGAACAGGCTTGAGACCATCGAAGCGTTTCTACAGCCACCGTGGGAAAGCCGAATCCATACGGTAGTGGAAGAAGACGGCGACAGGGCGAGCAAGGCGACCCAGACTGGGTGGGCCGTGAGGGCTGCAACAGGCAGCTCGGCAAGAAACGGAATCGTGGGCTACGGAACAGCAGTACTGCTCCCTTTGTCACACAGGAGAGGCGGCTCCACGACGACAGTATCAACCACCGTCGGCCCTAGGACGGAGCAAAACCCGTATACGGCGGAACTCATGGCGATAGCAGCGGTGCTGGAGTCTCTCTCGAAGAGAGTCCGTTACCTCGCTATCTACGTTTTCTCCACCAACAAAGCGGCCGTCTTAGCAGCAGGAAGACCACGACAGCAATCGGGACAACAAGAGATTCGTCGCATAAACGAGGCAGCCAAGACGCTCACAAGTAAAGGCAATAAGGTTACACTCTTCTGGCTTCCGGCAGAAGTAGAGTCCGACCTCAAGCTGAAGGCGAAAGCAGCTGCCCTGCCGGGAAAGCACACACGGCAACTGTACGACTCATTGTCATGGAAGCAGGCCAGCATACTGGCCCAGCTGCGGACGGGGATGGCAAGGCTCAACTGGTACCTGCACCAGATCGGGGCGGCCGCCTCGGAGCAATGTGCATGCGGACAAGCAGCAGAGACGGTCGAGCATTTTCTCTTCCGGTGCACCCAATGGACAGTACAACGCGCACCGATGATCCAACGAACTGATACGGACAGAGGTAACCTGTCATTTTACTTAGGCGGAAAGGCCGCATCAGACCCTGACGACTGGTCGCCATGCATGGATGTCGTAAGAGAAACAGTGAAGTTTGCCATGGCAACAGGACGACTCGATATGCAGATCAACCAAACATAGGACAACAACAGCACCATCACAGCAGCAACACTAATCACCGACTAACCCCTCACGCACCCTCGTGCCACCGACAGCAGGGCTCGCTTCAGCCGCCGAAGACAGGGACCTGAACACTTGGAGGAAGTGCTCCAAGATGGCCCGCTACTAACCTCACGAGAAATCGCAATCATCGGAAGGAGTAATCAAAGATGACGCAGACGGAAGTGGATCTTATACAAGGGGCTTGTTTTGAGACCAGGGTAGACACTCAACAAGGGGAGCATGTAAGATAGACGTAAGAGCCCTTTATGGCTTAGCCAGGGCGTAATAAACTCTGTGTGTGTGGGGCACTTCCTGGGCTATTACTTCTAGTACGCGTCCACGGCCACTACTGGACATGTAGAGCTCGCACTGCAGCCAGATCTGGCTCTTCTGGGCCCTGTCAAGTAGCCCTACGTACCCAACAGACGTCCCTCATAGTCTAAAGATCAAACGTCTGTGTCCGAAGCGGAAGTTAAGTTTGCTCCAAACTGTATGCAAAATGAGTGATTAGTAGCTGAGGAAGACCAGAAAAGGCCTGGCAAGTACGTAGACACAGACGTCGTTCCAGAGATGTGCGAAGGTGTACAGGGTAAAGCACATCACTGGGCGGACGTTCAGGATCGCGATGTTCGCTACGCGCGAGGACTGGTTCATCGCCATGCACCCGTTGGTCGGCGGAGTAAGCAAGCCCCCAGCTTAGCCAGCTGCGGCCGGCGGAAGAGGGATCTCGCCACTGAAAAGAGCGGCATGCCGGCGGCGCGCGCCAGGCAGCCGACCTCCTACATCACGACGGTCTTCCAGTCGCCCGACGAAAGTGTCGAACCATGCTGGCGGCCCAGTTCAATTGAATCAACACAAATACCCACATCCATATTTGACATCCAACTGGTTTGAGCTGGTGTGACAAGAAGAGGGCGCAGCAGCAAAGTTGATGGTGCAGGATCCGACGAGATCGATTCATACCGACGATAAGGCTGTCACTAAGTCAACGAGGGCTGGTTTGGACAGAAAACAAGCGTAACATTGCAACGGAAGTCAGCAGCATCACTGGTTAACCTTCCGGTATACATCTGGCATTTGATCTTGGGCCCAGCCCCGGCTGGGCTGGTTGGGCTGGAATTCAGCAGTATTGAATATCCGTAGTCGCTGGAGTAATAGTTGGAAACGGTCCCGGGATATAAACCGCGTAAATAGGTGGATAGGATCCTCCTTTTGCTGCTGGGTCGACCAGTAGGTTGATAATCTAGATTCCCTATGAATTCCTATATATAATAGGATCCCTAGGAAGAGGTAGATCTCTTCTACTGAAGTCTTCCTCCACTTATACACTCTAGACGTTCTGGCCCTAGGGCCCTCCTTAGATAACGGCGCCGCATTCGTCCACTGGGCCCACTGCTTCACGAGGCCCTGCGGAACGTATTGGACGAATAGTTCTAGCGGGCTTGCAGGTCGCTGCCGTACCTCTTGGGCCCGGGCCGGCACGTTGAAGGGCCGGAAGGAGCCCGGAAGACCGTGCTCGGCAGCTGGAGGTTCGTGGGGCCGGACTGTTGCTGCGTCACAGCGCTCTGGCGTACAGTCTGTATTACAGGCAGTAGTAAGGTCTTCCGGAAGGACCTTAACTACTATACAGCTGCGTATAGAAGTAACAGAAGCGTCAGAAGACATCACAGCATTAACCAAAATGGTGGTTTTAGTGGTGAAAGTAGGTAGGTTGGAAATCATAGGGGTACATGAGGTACTGTCATGTATCCCTTTGAATGCGGAGTAAAAGTGGGTAAGTAGTGGGTATTTCCGGGCTTGGCGAAAATGGGGTCAAGCAGCACCCGATGGGATAGTGCCTATAGATGCTTTCTTTGTGACTAAGCATTTATGCCTGTATCAATAATATGGACTCGCAGGCGCCAAGCTGTTGCTTTCGAGCCTTTCGTCAACCGGCGCTCAACACCCTCCTAGAACTGACTTTCCTATCTTCTTCTCTCCCCGCATGATCAAAGAAAAGCTCCCCTTCAGCAATCAATCAGCATGAAAAAGTACCAATACTCCCCGCTCACACTGAATCGCCAAATCCGCCTCCTGAAGCTCTATGCCGGAGCGGAGGCGGAGGAGTTGTCCGGTGAGCTGGTGCACACCCCCCTCGGCGGAACGCCATTCTTCACCGCACTTTCCTACGCATGGGGCGATTCGGAGCCCCGAAAAGCAATTTTCTGCTCGGGTCTCAAGATGGAGATCGGCCCCAACCTCCACAGCGCCTTATTACATCTCCGACAGCCCGCCTGTGAGATCATCCTCTGGGCGGACGCGCTCTGCATCAATCAGGAGGATATCCTTGAGCGCAACCAGCAGGTCAGGATGATGGGCGACATCTACGCCGCGGCGTGTTCTACAGCCATCTGGCTTGGCGAGGAGTCGTGCAAGGTTAAGATGGCCGTTGGCTGGTTACGCAGGTTCACCGTAGCTTGGGACTCGTTGGAGTCTCACCCAGGCTTTATCACCAAAGATCGGGCTGAGGGAATGTTGCAGGCGGCCTTCGGCAGGCACTGGGCAGCTGCCTTCCGACATATTTGGGCTCTCCTCAACCGTCCGTGGTTTGCACGGAAGTGGGTCATCCAAGAGCTGGTCAAGTCGCAAATGCCAATATTGGTGGTCGGCAGAATGATTCTCCCGTGGGCGATGTTGGCTGGTTGGGTCAACTTCGTCGAGTGGTGCCCAAACATAAAGGAGGTTTTCATCCGATTCTGCCCCACACCTCTCGAGGCGGGTGCGAAGGTGTTGGGTTTGACTCTATTAAGGGTTTCACTTCTCACACGCCTCGCGATCCCAGAGGAGCAACTCCTGCTGTTTCTCATCGTGAGGACGCTAGAGTTCGGATGCACCGATCCCCGTGATCACGTTTTTGCGATGATAGGAATCGCATCCGATGCCAACCGCTTCGATCTGATCGACTACGGAAGCCCAATGGAGAAGGTTTGCCGGCAGCTCGCGTATGCTTGCGTCTCCGACAGCATGAGCCTCAAGTTGTTGTGGTCTCTTGTCTACCTTGCGCCGTTAAAGTGCCGAGTACGTTCTTGGGTGCCAAACATCGAAAGCGTACTGGAGGACCGTGACGGAGGCATCTTGGCTTCTCAGTTCTCCGTACAGCAGGACAGAGATTATAACGCATCTGGAGACACAGTGCTGCAAGCGCATTTAGACGATGACAGGGATATGCTGATGATACGGGGCCGCATCGTTGACAGGGTTCAAGTTCTTGGGTCGGACAACAGAAGTCTTGGGTGACGCTCGTATCGTCGAAGATATGTTTAACGATAATATCCAATTCTATCGAAAAAATGTCCAAACGATGATGAGGCGGAGGTGGCAATGGGTAGAAGAATGTCTTGCCATTGCGAAGACCTCGAGCACGACCAATGTCGAGGAAGCTTTCCAAAATGCGTTGCTGGGCGACTCCCTCATCAACAAAGAGGTACCTCAGAGTTTGGCAGTGGTTAGGAGCGAGCTTTCTACTCAGATACGTTTTCTCAAAACCATGGCCTACGAAAACGATCATGGTAGCTGGTTGTCCGCCACAATAGCAAGCATGAGCCTCCAATCGAGCCATCTCCTTGAAAGCATGATAATGGAAAAGCTGCACCGGCGGTTTGTCAGTACAGATAACGGAAGGATAGGTTGGCTACCACCGATCACTGAGGAAGGAGACTTTATCTGCGTCTTTGACGGTATGGAGCTCCCGTACGCCATCCGGCCAGGTTGAGACGGCCAATATCTCCTTGTTGGTGAATGCATCATCCTGGGACTCATGAGGGGGGAGGCGG